CAAGCTATGGAAGTTCAGAGAATGGTGATTTCAGTCATTTTGTTACGACAGCACTTATGGAACAACGAGACAAAGTCCACGAGGCACTCGGACCTACTGCTCGCATTCTTTTTGTTCGCGGCCGAGGGCTGTTTGCCCTTGGCGAGTCAGTCGAGGAAACTTGGCATTACGCTACTAACGCTGTGGTTGCTTGTGAGACTCAATTGCTGCTTGCCTCATTAGGTTCCGACAGTTTAGTCTTGCCAGCTGAGCGAATTCGCCAACGATCATACGATACGTGGCGTTCAGCTGGTCTTGGAGGAATTTCTGGTCCTGAAGCTGCTCTCGCCATTCGTCTTTCCTCTATAAAAAAGGATGCAACCCTTGGTAGCCGACCAGAGAGTCCAAAAAGTGTTGATGAAATCCCTGGCAGACCATGGCGCCTCGGTGAACTCGAGTTCGAAGCTATGATGCGGCATCTGGACAATGCTGGCTATCGTACAGGCCATCTTTACAGACAGGTATGTGCATCTATTTGCTTGTAAGTACTGTTTTCTAGTAAATACAATACTCATTTTGTCTTTGCCATGGTATCGTTACCTAGCAATCTTGATGAACCATATCGGTTCGCAATTCCTTTATTGAGCTGTACTTATTACACCAGTATGAAGACTAAGATGGTGTACGTCCACGGTCCGATTTTGGAATTAATCATGCATACAATGGACTCCAGACTAGGTGCGTTTCTCTAAGTCTTCCTACCAATGTGACCAAGTTGCGAAACCAAGGTCAAACAACTTCTGTACTTATTACCTTTTGAAGATGCTCAAATTATTAGCTGATGGTCGGATATAAATCTCTCCCTGACTTTTCGGCTGTCTATTTTTGCTTTCCCGCATAATCTAATTTAGACTGTTCCCTATTTTTGCAAATTACTTTATTTTTCTCACTGGGTTACGTCGGAAATTTTCTGTCTTGTTCAGGAATAGTACTTTGATCTCTTATATGCTAGTAATTTTATCTGGCCTTGATTTCATAAAGTCAATTCATTTTATATAGGAGAGTATGATCCATGCAAACAAGTCAACTACGTTGCCGCGAGTTGGGGACCCAGCTTTTTCAGGTACGCCTCGTGATTTAGGTGTTGAAATCCCTCCCGTCACTTCATCGGTGGCTGCCACAATGGCACACTACTTTAGTGGAGATGAAACTGCCCTTTCTGGTGACGAGTCAGATGCTACGGCTCTTAAACCCGGGTAAGCTCACTGCACTTAGTTTTTATTACTGGTTGGCTCAATTTTTTTCAACCTTTTAAACATGAATATTCACTGACCCAGATGGTATTTTCGGCCCCTCGTATTCAATCAAAAGCCAGACATTTTTCGTTTTCAACTAGTTCATTGCTGTGTACTTTCATCGAGAACCATTTTGTCCCTTCAAATTTGCCAGAAAATAAATTACCAACAGCTGCCATTAAAAATTTGCTTCACAAGTGTGATACTTTCAACGAATATCACTTTAATCTTAATAACTTACACTGTTACTTTGGGTTCGCCTTTAGCAACTTGGCCAGGGCAGTAGGCAGACTCAGTTCTGTGTCTTCTGTCATAGTAGTCACAATAGTTTTCAACACAAAGCTGTCGACTTGGGGCATCTTTAAACCCTTTCTCAGCATCGTAGCCGGCATACTCAGAGACGTATCATCCATGCCATCGGATTACACTTCTTCACAGGCCAAACTATCTTTGTTTTCGTATCTATGATTAAACCTTTACTTTTATCCTAAAAAGCTCAGTTTTTAGTTTTTCCTTACCATTAAGCCTTTTTTTTGCATGTCTTCTTTATTCTGGACTTGTTTTGATGAATTTCCTTATTGCTACTCCAATTTGCAGGGTGCTTGCTGAAATTACCATGCACTATATACTTATGGATATATAAAACTTGTTACTATCGTTGTTTGATCATCCTAATGACTCGTGTAGGCTCGTCTAAATTTTATGAAAATCGATCAAACTATGATTTGTCTTCGTCTTTATGTTCACATGAAGCTACTTGATATTTTGATAAATTATTTACATATTTCTTTCTTTCACAGTTTCATTTATTTAGGACACTTCTTGATCATATTAAAGTATATTTAGATTGCTAAGTCGTTTAACTATCCACTAACTTTTCTTGTATGTACAAGCGCATTGATGAGATCCCTATGTTGATCTCATCATGGGGTGAAGGTGGATCCCATTTGGTCTGTTGAGAAATTCGTTAGGTTTACGCCTTTCGCATAGTATTTATCAGAGCTCGGTCTCAAACAAGCACACATTCAAGTAAAGATAAATGGTTCATCTTTACATTTAATCGTAGATTCAAGACTAAGATAGTGTGGCCTTTGTTCGCAGTACCCTTTACCTGTATAGTTATAATTTGATCTCATTTTCGTAGCTTGGTCAGAGCGATAGGTGACGAAATGGGTAAAGAACGGACATTTAACTTTCTTGGATATGGAGATCATTCACTATTAGAATACTCTCAATAACTGGCTCGGAAATGAAAGATTCGTATAATCCTGAAGGAAAGTATAACTCTTCTAAAGCTTGCCTACACAACATTAAAAAGTAAAAATAGAGTTATCCGAAGTTTACAGCATAAACTGCAATGACTAAACAAAAATACATAGGAGAGACGAGAAGGACAATCAGCACGTGGATTGAAGAACAGCAGTGACTCCAGAAAAATGTATACTAAAAGATCTGATATAGCTGAACACGTTGCCATTACCGGTCACATTTGACTGGAGGGTAACGGAGATTGGCTTCATAGAGAGAACACTAGAAAACTGAAGATCAGGGAGGCTGTTGATATCCTCTTAAAGAAATCTGATGAACAGTAGATTGGAAGAGGAAGAGTCAGCGAGAATTTCGCGTATTTTCTGGGCAGACTTGGACATTCAGCCGCAACAGAAAAAGAATACGCTTGTACCAGGTACAACTATTCAACAACAGGAAGAGAATTTGCCAATAGAAGGATCATGCGGAAGAAAGAGAAGTCAAGAAAAGGCATTGAGAGGAGTCAAACCTAGAATCAGCCTGAGAATTGACCACCTGTTGGGAAGTGAGATAGGAAATTAAAGATTAGTAACGGGCAGATTATGCTCCATTAATGGTGCTAGGCTCAATATATAAGTAACTACCACATTTATTAAGGTGTGGAAACCCATCAAGGGAGCGTAATATCACTTAGTTGTTATCGTGCTTGTGGGAGGGAGGGGGGCTTGCGTGCATGTCTATAAATGTACCAAGTCAATGTTCCGATGCTGGAAATCACGAATACTACGGCAGAGGACGCAGGGCTAGCTACATTCCGACCAAGCTGGAAAAATGAGGTCAGATCAGCACCATACATTTAATATTTGCTCTTAGAGAGTACTAACTGCCCTAATTCATTAAGTTTCAAATACCTTCAATTCTCTTGGACTTATCATTCCCCATGTTAAGTCAGATCGAAGTAATTTGTAAGTTTTCCCTACTTGAAATAAAATCCATCATTTATTCATATATCATAGATACAAAGCTAATTTTTGTGTAGTCTTAAACGTAGATATGAAGACTAAGTTGTGGCCTCGATTTCGGCCGTGATCTCTTTCATGTATATAAATAATCTTGGTTTGTTTTCGAAAATTGTCAGTAGTAGTAGCTCTAGTAGTTATGCTAATTCCCAGCTGTGCACCTTGGATTTGGCCCATCCCCAGCATCAAACTTCTACTCCTCAGAGGCAAGTGAAGTCAATTACTTGATTAACCTTCTGCCGAACTGTCGTCCTTTAATAGATATGAAGACCAAGATGGCGTGATCTTCTGATTGGTCACAGTTCATAATTTTATAATGTTGTTTGTTCGACCCTATTTTGGCAGCTTGGTCGGAGCGTCAAGGAGACCTTGTGAAACCCACCTAGTCCCGCGTCCTCTGCCACAGTATTCGTCATTTCCAGCATTTGACCATTGGTTGGGTACATTCCAAAACGTTTCGCCGACATCTTCAGTGAGAGGTGCC